GCTGTGGAGAAGTGACCTCCAAAATGATTCCTGATGTGGTCAGAGGCAGGGGTCACCTGAAGAAAATGACACCAGAATTGAATGTGAAAAAAGAAAAATCAGGCATAATCCAAAAATTCCCAAAGAAGCAAAATATAAATAGAGAAAGAGCTGAAGGCAGACACGAGACCCTGGCTCGAGACTGGGCTGACCAGGGACACAGGCCCTCCCCGCCCACAGCTCTGGAGACAGGACAGGGCCTGGTGCTGAGTCCCTGGGGTCACAGGTCCCGGGGGATAATGCTGGGCTGACGGGACTCAGCAGAAGGTTAGCGATCCAGCCCGCTGAGGAGTGACCAGGGCAAAGCCCATCACCCGCTGAGCGCCAGCTGGGCACAGGCTTCACCCACCCTCAGCTCCTCACAGCATCCCCTGGCCCTCCTGCAAAGGCTCAGCACAGGAGACACACAGCTTTGCACGTTTCTTCATGTTTCCATTTTTTTCTCCTCTGAAACTTTGGGGATTTTTTTTATTAATCTATCAATCCCTCATGACAAAAATAGAAAAAATAGGAAGTGATATTATTTCTCAGCACAACATGAACTGAGGGAACCGATGGCCCAACACAACTCTATGGGACAGGAAAGTCCATCAGGGAAGGGCACACAGGCCAGAGGGGGTTGTATTGGGCAGGCCTGGGCCAGTGTCCCCACTTCCTTATACTATTCTATAGGAACAGAGACACACGCATACACAAAAGTAAGTCAGGGAATCCTGAAATTATAAAGAGGGAGTGTGAACAACCCTGTGTCACTCAGTCTCACAGGCAGCTCTCACACAATAAAATAATCATGAAGAATTTATGTCAGTCACATAGCGCTAACTTTCCCAACCAATCACCACATGTTCAAAATGTTGCACCCAAGCAATCCCCAAAATCTAGCTGTGTCCCCTCTGCCCAAACCCGATCCAGGTAACAGCTCTAAGTTCTCACCTTTGCGTTCCTGAGTGACACATCAGAGTCCTGGGTGCTATCATTGCCTGGGGCAGAACAAACAGCAGGAACTTTGGGTGTGGGAGACCCCCATGCACTCCCAACTATACCCCAAGGGTCTCAGGGATCACCCCCAGATCCCACCACCTCCATACCTACTGATGTCCCAAGGAGACATCCCTCCCTTTCCACATGTGGAATCAAATACCATTTGAGAGGCCAGAAAAGAAGTAGGTCATCAGATCCTAGAGCAACCTTCCAGCCCCCAGTCCTGGACCACAAGGAACCTTCCAAAACTGTGACTGCAGATCCGAGAAAGATGAGCAGGCGTGAGAAGGGAGCCAAGAAGGTAGGGATCAACTGCCCTCTTGGATGTCTGTCTTCAGCAGGGAGCTTCCCATCACATTCCCCTGCTGAGTGCTGGGTTCCCACTCCCATAATTATCCAGGTGAAAATGCTGTGCTCACTTTCACATGAGCTTTTATAAACAACCAAACCAGTTTTCTGTCTTGCAGTCAAAAGGCCAAACTCTGAACCATGGGAATCTTTTCACAAAGGAGTTTATGACACAAGGTGGCCTCCCAGGGAGCTGACAGGGCTAGTACCCTATAAAAGCAGCCGAGCCCCCAAATTGTGGGGACACTGTGGTTTATATATGGAGGGAAGGAAACAACCTGGGAGTAGGTGTCTTTGCATTTTCTGGAAATGTGGGCATCCGGAGTTACAGCATTTCTCTTTTTCAGCAGAGAGTTCCTTTAGTTACATCACTGAAGGTCAGCTAACTGCTGCTCTGGTGTTTTCAGAGGGGAAGGTCCCTGCTGAGGACAGCTTTGTCCCAGAAAAGACACAGAGGATTTTTGTAGAGATGAAACACCTCCAGTTCTCAAGGTTTCCAGGAATGCAGTCAGAGAATAAATCATGGGGCTGGAGGTGGCAGGAGAACAGCAAAGGGCGTTTACCACTTGATTCTGCTTGGTTTCTAGTTTTCTCCCAAAAAGGTTAAGCTACAGGTTGGGGGAAACCTCTGCACGTTTAACAGAGAGTAAGTGCTAGCAATCAGCTGCTGGCCGGACCAGCACATGTGTATGGGGTGGGACTTTTCAAGGCCGGACTAACTTCTACCTGGAGCTAAAGCCCCCAGTAGGACCAAAGCGCTCAGATCCCCCACGCCCTCCTCTACCTGAGCTTCTTCCTCCACATCACAGCTGCAGCCACCGCAGCCACAGTGAGCACAGCTCCAAGGAGAACCAGGCCAGCCATGATGCCCAAGGTGGAGGTGCTGAGCTGAGGAGGGGACTCTGCAAAAGGGAGGGGAAGAAATGACCCAGCACGTGTATCTCTGCTCCTCTCCAGAAGGCACCACCACAGCTGCCCACTTCTGGAAGGTCCTGTCCCCCCCCCAGGACTGGTCTCCACCAGCTCTGTGTCCTGGGTCAGGTCCTCCCCATCTTGCAGCCAGGTCAGGGTGATCTCCGCAGGGTAGAAGCCCAGGGCCCAGCATCTCAGGATGATGACCTCATGGTCAGAGGTGGGGTGGTGAGTCATGTGACTTTTGGGGGGTCTGTGAAATAATCAGAAAATTCACACTTTGGTTTTCTCCATGGGCCACTGAGGTAGCGCTCAAGTGGCCGTTCTGAAAATGGAAAGGAAAATCCATTTGGAAGTTGGAAGCCCAACATTCATATTATCAGCCTGGACTTGGGGATTTGGGGTACTCTTCTATTTCTTGGACAGTTCCAGAATCTCCGAGAGGACCCAGGGCAGGAAGCTCTAGGGCTCTAAAAAGGACAAAGACTTGTGGCCTGACTTGGGTGGAAGGCACTTGATTGAGAAAGCCTTCCCCAGACCTCTGGCTATGGTCCCAGGCCAAAAACAAGGCCTGGAGAAAGAAATTTACTGTTGACAAGATGGTTTCCAGGTCAATGCGA